GCTTTGTAGTTGTATTCCTGCGGTGTTCAGAACACCTGTAGTTTCTAACCATTGCTTGCTGATATCACTGGCTTACTGGCCAGTTAAGTGATTAACACTACAGTGAATTAATTCCTGTATCAAGGGATTTACTACATTAGTAACCTCTTCATAAACAATCCAAGTAGTTTTTTTGTTTGTTTTAGTAATGAATCAATAATCTAATACTTTTGCAGAAAGAAAGGATGTGAAAGCTTTCCAGACTTTATGACTATGCTGGAAAATTAAAAAGCACGGTGCTTATGCATCAGAGACTTCTCTTCCTCTGTCTGTGCCCAAGGCACGAGCACCTGCAGGAGCAGCATTGCCAGGCGTGGCTGCAAATCTGCTTTTGTCCCTGGTACTGCCAAGGGTCCCTTCAAAGGAGCTTCATGGTTGAAGGCCTTCTCTGGGTGAGATGCAATGATGCTTTGGATCTGCAAAGGGACCTGCTCCCTCTTACCAGAAAGACCATTCCAGCTTGGTGGAGACTCATGCTTTCTCCTTTGCTCATCAAACAAACACTGGCTGCTGCTGGCCCGCAGGTGTCTGGGGTCCTCATGTCATGGTTTCAGAGATGGCTTAAACACCACTCTCCTGTTTGGATTTGACACTAAGTCATTCTAGCCTAGTAGGAAAGCAAGGCCAATGTTCAGTAATATTTGAATTAATTAATGGATCATTCATTAATGCATTGACATAGCATTAAGGCAATTTTCCATGGCTGAGTAGTTTGGTGATCATTAGTGCTGTATGATTTACGGCAAAACCTCTGTGACAGTGTTATGATGAGCAGACAGCTCCTGAAGGGCTCTGAAAGGGCCTGACTATCTAATTTCTTTGCTCTGTGAAGGATCTGGACACTAACCTCAATACTACTGTAGTCTAATTGGCTCCACACCTTATCTGTGCGTGAGACAGCTTTCTACAGCGAAATCTAAAGGTGGGGTCTGACTCTTCCTCTGCAGCACTGTGTTCCTCAGTGAAGGGACCCAAACCTTGAGTTATTTGGCAGAGATTCCTGTTTGCTGGGTGTGTGAGAGCTTATGATAGGGGGCAGGTCAGTCTGAAACAGGATTTCATAGGAAAGAGTTGGGCTCATTCATGGCTTCTGTGTGCTCTGCAGC